TTTCAAACGATTCTCAAATTTCAATAAATGATAATTGAAAAGAAAAATTGCTCCATATATAATTTCTTCTACAGAAAATAAGAGTTAGTGGTATACAAAGTCTAGAAATTAATTGTATAACGAAAATCTCATCGTTCAATTTAAACTCGAATTCGTGTATTTTTTTTCTGTAAAATTTCTTGAATTTTCCACAAATCATTTCTATAGATTCCACATAAATAAATATCAAGACCTCGAAAAAAAAAACACTACAAAAAGATGACAGACAATAAGTAACGAACATTGTCCAGACTTTGTATATCGGCACTGATTAAAGATTAGTATTATCATAATTGTATCATAACCCTAGTTATTTCGTCTACCCACACCTCAAAAAAAGACAATTGTATAAATGATCGAACTGTATACATAAACGTGTTAATAACTTAGTCTGAATACCTACCCATAGGCAGAGAAGGTACACTCTCAGTTTTTCCACCTAGACCGAGGTAAACAATAGCCAAAACACCGAAGAAAAGGGCCAATCCTATGACTAATACCATCGACACCACGTTCTGATTATTTCTGCCCTCTTCCTGTTTTGTTGCCGGCGCTTTGTACGCTCTGGTCACAACGTCCCGAGATCTGTCGTTCGACGAGGAAACATATCTGACATAACAACAAATTACTCCATGAATAATCAATTATTAACGACCAATAATTCCAGACTAACGTGACACCTCACCTGGAGTTTGTTGCATTGTAAGATGATCGCAGAGACGAGAAATGCCCATTGGTATCGCTCTCTTTATTTTCGGGACGTAAATGAGTTGTATGACGTAGCATAGAGCCTAAAACAAATAATTTATCATTCAAATTCATTCATTATTTCATTACATAAGAGTTGAAGATTTCTTACTCTTAAAATTAGATCGAGATGGTGCACTGCTGCCGGTCTGAGTGCTCAATCTCCTGGTGAATTCAGAAAGATAAGGGCTCTCGTAGGTGGCCAAGATGTCATTGACATTGAGATCCTCCCTCTTGTAGGAGGAATCATCCTTAATAGGTGCAATCGGCGAGATGTTTGGCTTGAAAGGTGGCACTGTATACTTATCTTCCCTGAGAAGATTCGAGCCCCTGGTTCTGCTCTCGTAAGTCTTGACAGTTGTCTCGACGTCAGCGGAATTTCTATCCTTACGTGAGTCGTATGATGGCTTGGGGGCTTCAACTCCAAACTTGGTTGGAAAACGTTTATCTGAATCCTCGGGGATGTCTGAGTCAGAGCCAGTCTCCAAGCCATCGTTGACGGTGGATAGCTTGAAGGATTTCGTCTTCTTCTGGACGGTCTTCACTGTGCGACTCGTTGAATTGACTGTTGCATCCTCGTAGTCAGATGTCTCCTTGGTCTCTGAGTTTCTCGAGCCTGCACGACGTTTCGAGGGACTCCTGGAGACACTCGATGCCACTGGAGGTGGTGCTACTGCTGGTGGAGGCATTGGATTTGCCATCGTCTGGCGGCGACTGGTGGACGTCGCCTTTTTCTTTTTATTTATCGCTGCACCAATGTCATCATCAGTGTCATCACTGCTGTATCTGTAATAATACTTCATTCATTTCAGAGGGACTGAAATCGAGAAAGTCGAAGAAGTATTCGCAGAATTCACTTGACTTCAATTAGCCAAGTGGTGGAACGAGATAATCGGAATTTTCGACTTTTTTAGAATACCCGTTATTCCACGTGTATTGTTTTTATGAGAGAACATGACGAGAGCTTTTTTCTCCAGAATATACTGAACTACCGAAAAGCCCCGAACAATTTTAACCTGAAATCGATGATTTTCGAGATAAACGTGATTGATAAAAATGTTAAGTACGTCTCGTGGTGTCTCATCACTTTACTGCAGAATTGTTTTGATTCATCGGGAGTCATTGAACCTTGAACGTAACCACTGATGTCACGCATCACAAAATCAGTGAGGTTTTGTTTTCCACGCCGACATTTTTGGATAACTTTTTTTTCTTCCCTCATAATGTAACTTTTTGGTTAAGTTCCCTGA